ATGCTGGCTCGCCGCCGGCGGCGAGCTCGAAGACCCGCGCCGAGCCTCGCCGAGCCTGGCGGGCCCACCCACACGCCCGCGGCCGCAGGCAAGCAAGGCGAGCTTGCTGGCGTCTTTGCCAAGCGCCAGCATGCCAAAAGACACCTCGCAGCGCGCGAGACGTGCCGAGACCGATACGCCCTGGCGCCGCGCGAGCGTCCGGTGGGCTCCCGCACCAAGCGCGCGGCCGCCGCGCGCATTCGCGGCGGCAGCGGCCGGGGGCGGAGCGCCCGCATAGACAGTTGTTATGGCGCGGATTTAGACAGGCATTACCGGGGAAGGACTCGTGTTCACAGCCTTGTTATTGAGAAGAAAATACCTCCTATGGCGCTGTGCGCTGGCCTGTGAATTCACAGCGCTTGCACATCAGCAGCCGTGAGATGGACGCTGCAGAGCTGTTGGACGCCGACCTACACTCGGAGTGGGCGGCTGAGCTCGGCGTGGGCGAGGGCGAGGCGGCGGCTCCGAAGGCCGGGCTCGGTGACGCTGGCGAGGAGGAGGAGGCGGCGGCGCCGGCCTACATTCAGGGCCACATAAGCGACAAGTTCTTCAAGCGCGGCTGGCGGATGATTGAGGGCGAACCACTCTATCACAACATCCTCACCAACCAAGTGCAGGACTCGCCGCCGTACGACCGGTGCGGTAGCAACGGCTGCATCCTCGAGGCGCCGCCGCCGCGCTCCCGGTCACATAGCCCCGCCTTCGGCGACGAGCGCTTGCGCCCCACTCTCGCCCCGCCCGCGCTTCCCAGGACCGCCACCCGGGCCTCTGCCGAACCGAATCGACCGAGCTCGGCCGCAGCGAGCGGCGCCGCAGCTCGGCGACCCTCTCCCGGCAGAGCTCGGCAGCGAGTGAGGCTGGGCTCAAGCTCTGCCCGCCCCCGAAGCGGCAGGGCTCGGGTGACGCGCCGCTGAAGCGGCAGGGTTCGAAGGACGCCTCGCTGAAGCGGCAGGGCTCCGCGGATAGCGACAGTGGGCTCAAGCGCGCGGTGTCGGCCAGCGGCGCGGCGCTCAAGCGGCAGGCATCGGCGGGGGGCGAGGCGCCGCCCAAGGACGGCGGCGGGTCGAAGCTGGCCCCCGCCGCGTCCAACCCCGCGACGCCTTCGAAGCCCTCCGGCTCGTCAAAGCCGGCGGGGCAGGCGGCGGCGGCGAAGCAGGCGGCGAAGCAGGCGGCGG